TCCCACCTATACTTCCTGCCTGGCCACTGGCCAATCAGTGTTTTATTTATTGACCAATCAGAGCATTTGACATACAGAACATCCCACAGCAATCACCTGTGTGTCTATTGCTCATGTAAAAGAAACTGTGAAGTCAAAAGCTTAAAAAAATGATTTTTCAATAAATGGACAAATCTGGCTGCACCGACATTTAAACACCAACATTTCAAGGAAACTTACTTTGCTGATGTCATTAACACATTTGTAAATCTTGAGGCTTAAAGACAGAAAGGTTGAGGGGCTGGGGACATTGTTCAGTGGTTAAGATCACTTGCAAGAGGGCCAGGGTTCCATTCCCAGCACCCATATGGCAGCTTACAACCATCTGTAACTCCAGTTCCAGGGAATCTGATGCCCTCTTCTGGCCTCTGTGGGTGCTGCACCCATGTGGTACACATACATTCATGCAGGCAAACACTCACATACATGAAATTTAAAAAGTAAATGAATTACACACATGGAAGACCAGTTTATTACAACAGAATGTATGTACAGATATTAGTTAACATTGTCCTTTTTCAAAATACATTACCTAATCTATTATAGAAATATTATCTTCTTTCTTTTGTGATGTAATATTCACTTCATTTTTATTTTTCTCATTTCTTTTTTACTGATGTAATGATACATGTGTATATAAACAGAAAAAATTTTCAGTCTTATATTTCTTTTCTGGTCACTACTTCTCATTTTATTTTATGGTATTACTGAAAAATAACTGTGTTATATAGAAGAGACAAAATTATTTTAAAAATTGAATTTCATCGTTTGGTTATCCAAAATGGTTTCTTTCTTCTGGTATTGGAGATTGAATCTATGGCCTTGCACATGGTAAACGAGCATTCTACCACTGAATTGTCTCCCTAGACCTCCTTTCAAGACCGAGTCAAAGTTGCCCAGGTTAGCCTTGCACTGCAAAACTCTTCCCCAGCCTCCTGAGTAAGGGGCCTTGCTATGGGCTTAGCTTGCCAAACAGTTCAAATACTCAAGCCAACATGCAGAATGACTGATGAGGATGCTCTGAGGAGCCACCAAACAGTCCCTAGGATCATGGGGACCAGACACAAGCAGGAGCTGGAACTGTGGGAAAGATACAACCCACTGCCACAGCTGTACCCTAACTCTCACCCTCCAAACCATGACCAGGGCCCCTCATGACTCTGCCCAGCTGAACGTCGAGGAGGTGAAGGGGCCTGGCCTCTTGTGTAAGGGTTGTCCCCTTGTGACCTAGAGCAAAGAAGAGGAAGACTATGGAACAGGACAACACAACATGGACAGTGCCTGCCCCTTGGACCATCTGTTGACTCATGGTCAAGAGGAGCACGTGTGCCTAGTGGGAAGGAGTGAGTTCTGGGTGGGCCAACACTTTAAAAAAGCCTACTCATGTTATGACTGTTTATTGCTGTGCCCACCTGATGCCACGGTTTGCAACTGAAGGGTTAATTTTGGGCTGTGGTTTGCAGCTGAAGGGTAGAAGGGCTGATTTGGGGCCGTGGTTTGAGGACACATTCATCATGAGGGGGAAGGCATGGTGGTGAGCTTAGCTTGACTCTGTGGTGACAGGAGGGTCAGACGGTCTGCTCACACCTCTAGGGGCAGGACAGGAAGCAGCGCTGGGCTATAAACTTCTAGCTCATCCATGACCCAGGGACCCACTTCCTCCAAGCAGGTCACCCTTCCTAAAGGTTCTACAGTGTCTCCAAACAGCAGCATTACCTAGGGATGAAGCTTTCAAAGCACAAACCTGTGGGGAAGTTTTAAATTTAAACCATAACTCCTTGACAAAGTGAAATATGCTACTATTTAGGAATATATGTATATATGTATACACTATCTCTGTAATCTGATGTTTCTTATTAGTAATCCTAGGAAGAGTTTGAAAGACCTAGTTTACATTGTGTGACTTTTTGTGCTAATTAAACACAATTATGTACATTTGCCTTTTTAAGATTTTCCTTAAAATAGCACATATATTGATTTCTTCTCTAGTAGTGGATTTTTGTTATAGAGTATGATTTTTTTTGTTATAAACACATGTGTTCACATTAGTTTGCATACTTGGACATGGCTGGAAAGAATTGTCATGTAGCTTATTAAGAAATGGATATAAAATGCAGACAGTGTGGTATACCAAAAAAAAAGCAGTGTTCACATTTCTTTTTATGCACAAAATAAGAACACAAAAGTATACAAAGGTCCGAGACTTCTAGAAACCGACACTAACTGGGTCGAGAAATAAGCTGTTGCCATGGGCAGGTGTGGTCAAGGAGAGAAGAAAATGGATTGCTTTGTTTGAATCTATTGCCTTAGGCACACTGCCACGCCAGGATCTCTTCATCAGAACAGAACCATATTCTTCTCTCTGCTGTGGCTGGCTTTGAGATTGGCGGTGATAAGCACCGGCCAGGATGAAGGGGTCAAGGAAGTTTCACTTTGAATTAGCATCAGCTCTCATTTAACC